GTGAAGAGAATAATGTTTTGCTTCTGACATCGTTCGTGTTATCTTCACATATTGGCTTGGATTCTGCAACCCTTCAGTTGAGCTTGTTTCTGTTGCTGTAATAATTTTTAATGTTCTTCCTGAGACGATTGCTTAGGCAACTTTAACCCTTGAATAACCTAAACTGTCTTTGGTGAAGATTTGATATTCTCTCTGATACCATCTAATTCAATTCAATTCAATTCAATTTTATTTCATCCATGGATCATTATACATGATATGGGACAAGTCAAAGATTAATATTAATACTAATACTATATAATAATACAGAAATAATATGACAATATAATAATAAATGATGATGATGATAATAATAATAATAACAATAATAATAATAATAATAATAATAATATAGTAATACAGACATAATATAATATGACAATATAATAATAGATGACTATAATAATTTAGCAGTCTTGAAAACAGTTTCTAAAGCTCAGTTGATTAATTGATTCATTCATTTATTTACATTCCATGGATCCATACATTGCTGGAAGACAGTGGATATAGAAATAGTCAATGGCAACAAGACAAATCACATCAGTTACATAGATACAAATTAATTATACTTAATCCATCACAATTACACGTGTTATCCAAGACAAATCACAATGAGTAAATCATTAAACAGTTATAAAATATATATGTAAAAGCATGCAACATACTAATATCAAACAAGACTACAATAATCAAACATAAAAATATACTGCTAGCTGTCCAGCATATAACAGACCAAGATCATTAATTAATATTGAAATAAAATTATTCTTCCAGTGAGTAAAATGAATTTAAAAGTATAAATCTTTTTAAGGCACATCTAAATTGTTTCATGTCATGAGCTAAGTTCATTGACCTAGAAGGAAGATTATCAAAACCTTGACTCCAAAATAGTATGTTTTTTTTGGAACACTGTTAAATTACATATTGGATAATGGAAATTGTTATTATGTCTTTCACCAGTTCTATGAATCTCGGAGTTAGATTTAAATTGTTCTCTGTTTTTAACCATAAACGACAGGAGAGAAAATATGTACTGTGATTGGAGGGGCAAAATTTTCTGTTTCAAAACAATTTTACATTTACATTTTGCATTTATTTATCACTTCATGGATCCAGTCATCTTCCTGTAGGGCTGGATATAAAACATGTCACATATTACAAATTCACGATGACTACACATCATTCGTCCTTGGTCCAATAAAATATAAAATAAAGACTAAGACAGAATAGCTCAAGTTGTCAGGACAGCAGACATAGGTCGTGAAGAAACCACTGTCAAATCACACCTTGCCATTCCACACACACTGGCAAGCCGTATCATCCAAACAGTTACGTCATAAAATATTAAAATTCATAACAAAAACAGACATACATACTACTACACTTACAACAAGCAAGTCTCAACAATGTGTAATTCATGCACACAGATCATTTATTAACTCTTTGAGCCACTTACATGCTCGACAAATTCATCAGTTGAGTAAAATGCGTTACTTTGCAAATAATTTCGTAAAACAAACCTAAATTGCTTTTTATTATTTTTTAAAACTGTGGTATTTGATGGCAGAATATGAAAGAGCTTGATGCCTGAATAATACACCCCTCTGATAGGATGATAGATGTGTTGAAGGTATACAAAGGTGGTCATTCCTTCTGGTACCAATGACATAGACAGAGTTACTGGTTTGAAACTTATCCAAATTATTAACACCAAATGTCATCAGTGAGAGCAAATATACACATGGCATTGCTAGTATGACAAGCTTTTTGAATAGATCTCTACATGTATGAGTTGGGCCCACTCCCATCTTTATTCTTATTGTTATTTTCTTTTGTGTAACAAAGCCCTTATGACTGTCTTATGTATTTCCCAAATATATTATTCCATATTTCACCAATGAATAATAATATGCATAATATACAGCTTTAAGACTCTCTACTTTTAGAATTAGTAATAATTCTAACTGCCCTTTTCTGTAGCCTAACAGTATGAATATTATGGGGAGAATTACCCCAGAAAATTATACCATAAGTCATAACAGAATGATATTATGAGAAATAAATCATTCTTTTTGTTTCCCGTGACATATAAGGTTTAACAGGCCAAACCTAATTTAAACATAAGCCATTCAACATTCCCTTTTCATGACAACATACTGTCTATAATTAATCCAAGAAATTTGATGTTAGTAGATCTGGCAATTTGATTGTTACCATAGTCGGTATGCATATACATTGTATAGCTATTATTAGTCAAAAATTGTATAAAGTGTGTTTTATCAAAATTTGNAATTTTAAACCTTTAAACCTATGGGTGGACAGCTATCAACGAAGTAGAAGTTGATAATGACAGGGAGAGTGTTGTAGATGTTAAATTTTGAACTGGGTGCAGTGTGACAGCGACGTGAGTGTTATACACCTAATGATGGCCGTCTGAGGCCGAAACATGTAGTGTAGGGAGCAAGATCAAAGACACAAAATATATTGTTTGCACTTGAGACGGAGTTTATATCATTTATCGTATGGAGTGCAACAGGATGCTTAAATATAATTTGATTTAAATAAATTAAACTCTAAACCAATCATTTATGTTTTCAAATATTTGAATAATTTTGTTTTCATAATTTAAAGGACCAGAATTTGCGATATTATACTGGTGTCGTCTGCAAAAAGAACAGTTTTGGATTTACTAATTATAATGTTCGGCAAGTCGTTTATATATAAAAGAAACAATAAAGGTCCCAGAATCAATCCCTGGGGAACACTGTTATTAACTTTGCCCCATCTGGAATGAATAGGTCAATTATTAATTACAACTCTCTGATATCCGTTTCTGAAGTAGGATTTTACCAGTGCATTGGCCTTACCAACTATTCAATGAAATTCCAGTTTAAATAGTAAAATGTCATAAATGACACAGTCAAATGCTTTCTTCAAATCACAGAATATGCCACAAACTAATATTATGTTGTTCAGTGCATTTAATATTTCATTAATTAATTTATACAAGGCAGTTTCTGTAGATGAATTACTCCTAAAATCATATTGTTAATTTGCTAATGTGATGTTACTCATTATATGTTGGTGTAGTCTTTCATATGTAACCTTTTCAACAACTTTAAAAAGCCAGGAGGCCCAGCAGTATAACACACGCAGTCACAGGAGCAAGACACAACACAAAGCACAATACACACACGATAGTGAAAGAGTGCTCCAACAGAAGAGGATAGGTGTGACTCGCATAGTGAGATACGACGTAGGGATGAAAAATCCTGAACAATTTTAATATTTTTAACATTTAACATTTATCAATATATATATGATAAATATATATTTTAGTTTTTTTAATATGAAGACGACAGGGCATGCAATGAACTAGTTTAGTGTAGATCGAATAAGCACCTGAAGATGGCACTTTTGTGCCGAAACATGTATTGCGAGTGAGAGGAGGAGATAGATGAGTGTATGCACTGGAAGACGGTTGAAATAAATCATGAACTTTAAAAAGGATGTTAGTAATGGAATAAGTCTTTAGTTAGTCACATTAGTTTTATCTCCATTTTTAAATAGTGGTTTTATTTCTGAATATTTCAACCAAGTGGGGAAGACACCATTTGTAAGATATAAGTTAATGGAGAGCTAATGGAAGGCACGCTGGTTTTTAGAATTTTGACCAAAATTTCATCATACCCATTAGAATTTTTTGGGTTTAAAGACTTAATTATGTTTTAAATTTCTTTAGTGGAGGTATGGTTGAATTTAATTTTAGGGGAGTTGTGAAAGCTTGAGACAGATAATCTAAATATTTGTCACTATCACACTCTCTAATGTGGCCAACATTTGCATTATTGGAATTAATTTTGTTAGCTATAGTTAGAAAATAATTATTTAAAGAATCTGTGTGATTACAGTGTCATCTAAACTATCCAAAGTAACGAACCTATTTGATAATTTAACCTGGTTTTGTTCTCAAGCTTCCACATCAGTTGGCTTCTCGGAATTAAAACTCTTCATATCAGACATTTACATTGCCCATTTGCTTATCAGTTTACAGTTTCTTCCTAGTTTGCATTGAAACCTCCCAACTGTGTTTTCATTTGGTTCCTGGGGAGTTGATCAAATATACATTCTGGTTCTTCACAGAAAGTGCCTTCTGTGTTGTCATTTTTGTTCTTCATTATAAGCATGTTCAGAAAGATAATACCACACTAGTGACCTCNAATACACGATAGTGAAAGAGAGAGTGCTCCAACAGAGGATGATAGACGTGACTCGCGTAATGAAACACGACGTAGGAAAGAAATATGCTGTACAGTTTTAGTATTTTAACACTTGACATTTGTCAGTATATATGATAAATATATATTTTAGTTATTTTAGTATGTAAAGACAAGGCATGCAATGAATTAGTTTGTCGTGGATTGGATCAGCACCTGAAGATGGCACATTGGTGCCGAAACATGTAGTGAGAGTGAAAGGAGGGGATAAATAAATGTATGCACTAGAAGACGGATAAAATAAATCATGGACCTCTTGTATGTATGACCTTCTATCAGTAACAATGTCTACTCATGTAAATGCCATGTATTCTCTAAGTATGATAAAGTCCAGTCCACATCTGATGGTGGTATTTCCCGTTATGGTGCTGCCTTTGTCCTGTCTGACCTCCTGTACTCCAGCTAAACCTATCTTTTTACTGTGCTAATCTCTTAATTGCAGTTTTTAGTCAACCTGACTCATACAGATCTCTGAAAATCCAGATTCCACCTGTTCTGTGCTTGTTCCAAAAGAATTAATCTGAATCCAAGCATCACTATATCATTTTGTAACATGTTACTATTCTAATCTTCAAGCTGGAGAATCACCCTTTGATGGCTGTCTGGTACTGTTTATTCATTATATGTGTAACTAACTCCTTAACTTGAAGCTCTGTCTCCTCCATCTGCAACCTGAGGTTGAGCCATGTCATGGCAACAAGGGATAAGAAGATAGTCATGAATTGTGATATATAAGGATCTGGAAGGAGACAGCAGCCAGTATTCGTTTGTAGAGGCAGAAAGGTAAAGCTGTCATCCTATGTGATTGTGAGGCTATAGCATATGTAAGATTTTGTCACCTGGACCAGTTTTTTATGGAACCAAGTGACTACTATGACACCCCCATAAACAGTGTTCTGCATTCTGTTTGACATTCCTTTTTCTTCCAGCGGAAGCGGAAACTTGAAGTACAAAATGGGTTTCCATGCAAGAAACTCTTCCCAGATGATAAGACTGCCATGTTGAGGTGAGATACCTCTGTGTATGAGATTTTAAATTCTCGCAGCAGTGAGTGTTAAGATCACAGTCTTCTGGTATGGGGCTCCATTTCTCTTGCTCTACAGATACCAGTGTTCATGGAGGTGCCTTTGAAATGTTATGCCTGCCTGTCGTGTTACACAGTGTCACATCCCAGTAGACTGTGATGTTACCACTGCCTTTGTTGCGTGATAGCTTAAATGCATTTGCACATGCATGTTTATTAGAAGCTTGAGAATATTATTCATAGTTGAATTTATATGAGCTGTAGGAGGTTCCTGTCCCTGGATCCCATGCTGCTTTGGACAGCAGCAACATTTTTTTTTATTTCCCTGTGCTTAAGTAATTAAGCACTACTTCATGAAGGCATGTGAGGGAGTGGACGTATTGATCCACATTTTCTTGATCTTGGCAAATTAATTATACTTAATTCATCACAATTACACATGTTATCTGAGACAAATTACAATGAGTAAATCATTGAACAATTATAAAATATGTATGTAAAAGCATGCGTCATACTAGTCACTGGCTTCCCACTGTGGTGGCCCTCTTTCAGTACCAGGTCAGGTTATGTGGGATTTGTGGTGAACAAAGTGGAATTTGGCCAAGTTTACTCAAAGTGCTTTGATTTCCCCTGTTAATTTTCAATCCACCAACTGCTACACATTCATTAAGCATCCTGTTGTCTGACTTGATGCAGATAGTGTCATTAAATAACAAATTTAAGTATATGGTGCTACATCCCAGAAGACTGTGTTTGTAATACAATTACTGTGTTTCTGGACATATCAGTTGTCCTGTTTTTTTTTTTTGTTTGTTTAAAATGCCATGTTTTGTAGAGTGGATTCTGTCGCCATCCTCAGGTAGAAGCCTATGTAATTGGGCCCAATCGGTAGAGCCAGTTCCTTTATATGGACACCAGTAACAACACAAGATAGGGTATATAAATAACAAGCAGGATAGTGGACAATGCCCAGAAACACAGAAACCGTGTTAATGCGGCGTCGGCACGAACTTCTAGATCTTATGTTGTGGTAATTATCTGGTGCCCTATGAATACTCTGTACTCTGTTCGTTGGTTGCTTGGTTAGTTTCATTATGAGCTGTCTGTACTTATGCCTCTGTGATTGCAAGTGATGTGCTTTGTGTGCAGTTTGAAGAAGAAAACTGTTGAAGGATGCATCCCACTGGAGAAAGTGAAAGTGCAGAGGAGTGTCATTCCTTCAAAAGACAACCCACCGCCCGAGATGAACGACTGGCTGTACCAGTTCAAGGTAAGACATGAACGAGGCTGTTATTTATGACTGCCAAGTCATGGGACGCTTAAACACAAAACACACTCACTCCTAGCATGACTGTTTCTGGCTTCTGCCTGCACACCCATATTTTGCAGCACAGTAACATTAAAATTGGCACTGGCCCTCACCAGCACAGTTATTCTTGGTTTTGAGGCATCCTGAACTCATGACCATGTTTTACTCTCTAATGACTCTGGGTATCACATAACTGTCAGTAACAGTTTGATGCATTTCATGGCAGAAAAAGAAATGAGTAGAGAATGCTCATTGTTCTTCCAGAGGTTTGCAAAAGGTAGTGGCATTCACAATCTAGTAAGAGAGGAAAAGATTATGTGCTTGAAGTTCGTTCTGAAAGAGAAATATTTTGACCTCAGTCCACCATATCAGTCCAGTCCAATAACTGGTAAACAAGCAACCTTGGCTAAGGGTCATAAAGAATTAATTGCAAAGTATTACATGATTTGCCAGGAGTGATGATGGATGCATGTGAAGTGAAAAGAAGAGGTCCCTCTATGAAGAGTTTGGCCTTCTGGGATGTGAGATGCTATAGTGTGGTCGATGGGATGCCAATGTTTTGGAAGATTCTGCTGCCTCTATTTTCAGAGCAGAAAATGGAAACAACAAATTCATTCAAAACATTCTTGTACCTTGGTGGCAGACGTAACGGGTTCATTTGGAACATTTGTACCCATCTGTCAAGCTACATGGCATCACATCTCAGAAAACAGTAATCATCAGCTGAAGACGTGTCTCACAAGTGTGGAGGAGTAGATATTTCATTAAGCTTACCACACAGTACTGAAGTAGAGGGACAGCTGGCACCTCATCATGTAGATAAGTAATCTTTGATATCATTTGGCATCATGCACTGATAAAGGTTCATTATCCCTCTGCTAAAAGAATCATAGGTCTTGTATTCTTTCATGACAGAGTTAATTCATGTAGAATATGGATCAGTATTTGGACCAGGGGTGGAGGTGGCTTTTCAGACTTAGTTAGATGCTCAAGCATAGTATAGACTAGCTCTGTCTTAGTAGGAGATACTTATTATAAAAGTTGGTGCTACAAATATATTATGCATCCGTTTCTTGTTATCGTTAGCTGTATGGGATTCATTTGTATTTGTTTCATGGGGAATGGCTTTAAACACCGGAAATAGGTTTTAAAATGAGCTCTTGAATATGGTAATGGGCATGTACCATATCTGCCCCCCCCCCATTTCTGGCCCTGACTTGAGCCCCCCCACCAGGCAGTGTACAAAAACTGCACAGTGTTCATTGCATATTTACAGAAACAGTCTGTACTCTTCAGAGACAAAGTTTTAAAGTTACTTGTATCACCCCACTAAAACGCAAGTACTTTGTTCTCTTGTAGCTGTGGTCATCCCAGTTGTCTGTTCTATACCTGTCATCCAATTTTCCTTGTACAGCTTCCTCTGATATTCTGAAGATGTAGGCAGCTGGTTTCTTTGAAACATTGGTACCCATCTGACAAACAACATGGTGTCACACCCCAGCATGCAATAATCTTGGAAGTTGCTATGATAGTCTCAGTGCAGAAAATTAAAAACAGTTTGAAATTTGCACTGTGATCCTCATTTTGTACGTGACTCTTCATCTCATTGTTGTGATGTTTGTGTTGTTACAGAGATGGTCAAATGCAGAGCGACTGCTGGCTATCGATCAACTGATTGAAACATGTGAACCGACGCAAGTGAGGCACATGATGCAGGTGATAGAACCGCAGTTTCAGAGAGACTTCATATCACTTCTTCCAAAAGAGGTGAGGACTTTGCGTTGCTTGTGAATGGACTGAAAATGAAGATTCATTTAACACATTCACTGTCATATACTGGGAGACTTCACCTGTTAGAGCAGCCATTTTTCCATGGAAGTGGAATTTTAACATACTGTATTTGTAATGGAAATGAAAGAGAATAGCGAAAATCAGCCAAGGATTGCCATATATTCCAGTTCTTTCAAGGTCTGGCAAGCTACAGCTGAAGTTTGATTAATAATCTTATACATGGAAATTTGGGTGAAGAAGTAGGCTATGCTTCAGCATTAATTTTATGTCCGAAGTGGCATCTTGAAATGTCCCTAACGTTCTGTGATGATGCCACGATACTAAATGTTGATAGTACAGATTACAGTCATGATCCAGGTTTCAGGGTGTTATGTTTTGTTAATGAACAGTTGTTTGTTCTACCAATCATTTTCAATCTATGGTATTTATTCGTTTACAGTTGGCACTCTATGTGTTGTCATTTCTGGAGCCACGCGATCTTCTGCGTGCAGCGCAGACATGTCGCAGCTGGCGGTTCCTAGCAGAGGATAATCTCTTGTGGCGGGAAAAGTGTCGTGAGGCAGGGATTGATGAGGTGCGGGAGGCTATCCACAGGAGACGACAGCGGGTTCCTTCCGTCAGTTCTCCTTGGAAGGTCAGTGCTTCATTCAATGTTCATCGAAATATAAAGAATGTTGCCCAGTTGTGCGGATACTAATGACAATGTGAGTTACAGGCTGCATTCATGAGGCAGCATACCATCGAGATGAACTGGAGGATAAAGCCTATCCGGCCACCAAAAGTTCTCAAGGGTCATGATGACCATGTTATAACGTGCCTGCAGTTCTCAGGGAATCGAATCGTCAGCGGCTCGGATGATAACACACTCAAAGTTTGGTCAGCCACTACTGGAAAGGTATGTTCTATACCGTAATAATTGTTGGTACACAGGGATCTGGGTTACCAAGTTTGGTACAGTGCTTATTGAATGTAGGTCGCAGTCTTGTCATGACAAGCATGTTAAATTATATTCCTATACAGCATCATAAGAATGACACATATGTTGTTGGATCCCCATAGAGCAAGCATGTAGAACCAGAGTTGTAGGTTTCTTATATAAGACTTCTTTGTAGGCTGGTTGTGACCAAATTTCTTCCAAATCCAATTTTTGGATGAGAAATGGCAATTTTTCATGATAGGTCAAAAGTTGATTCATTTTCGTATGGATTCTGATCCTAGCCAGAAGGAGTAAAGTAAAAAAGTGAAGCTATCCCTGTACCAGGCTGTGAAGGCCCATAGGGTTGTGAGACGTTGAGGGTCCCACACTATCTAGACAATCGGCTGAAAGATGGTGGAGGTTGTCAGCCTTACGTGCCGGCCGCACTTCACTCCCCGGGAAAATTATTTAGTTAATTCCTGGTACTCATTTCTGTTAGAGGCTGAGTAAACCCCAGGGCCTAGTGCAGCTGGAAGGATTAGGTCAACTGAAAAAAATCCAATGACCTCATTGGGACTTGAACCCGCAACCTTCCGGCTTCTAGCATAGCCCCTCAACAACTACGCTACCGCGTGCCCCCAGCCGGAAGGAGTATGAGAATGATATCAGGATGGAATTGTCATCGATTTTGTCAGTCATTCTACACAGAGGATCATAAAGGTGCATCCACATTGCACGTTCTCATGCTCATCAGGCTTGTGCTCATCGGGAGACTTGTCTGGCTTTTACTTGTGCTCGTAAATCTTCATCCACACTACTTCAGTTGCTCACCAGGCTTTGGCACATGAGGATCCATATATTTACTCATAATGTGTATAGGCTGTAGTTGTATTTTAATTTATTGGCTATAGTTTTTAAATTAAAAATTTAAAATTCACTTGTCTCGTGACTTGTCATATCGTCCACATTGCTCGTGAGCATAGCGAGTCACACGAGCACGAGTAATGTGGACACACCTTAAGAGACATAACTACTGGTACTTTCTACACTTGTGTGATAATTTTGTTCTTGAAAAATGGTTGAAATGTTTCAGACCAAGCAAGTTGGCTTGAATTCAGGAGGGGTCCAGACTGAATCTCAGGCCAGGACACCAGATATCCTGACTGAGGTTTTCATTGTTTTCTTTGGTCTCTCCAGGCAAATTCTGAGATAGTACCACAAATTAGGTCACAGTCACTTCTTTCCACATCCTTTCAAGTTCATTATTCACTGTCACGCAATCATTTGACGTATGGTTTGGGATACCAACTGTCATTAAATAGTCCTTAAATAATTTTCAGTGAATGCATACTGTTGTGTATCATATGATGATGGCCTTTTGAATGCCAAAACATATAGCAAAATGTATCTCCTAGAGCTGCTTACATGTATTATTGATTGTTGTGTTATGACTTTTTCAGTAAGAAATAATCCTTAAATAAATAAGATAAAATGAGAGCTGAGAGATGCATTTATGAAAGGTTGGTGAAAATAGAGGAGGATTTGTCAGAAGACGATTAGATTTCCCTCTGAAATTACACCAATCTCTGTGCTAGTTGTGTGATACACAGTGAGTGAATATGCAGCATGTTGTCTGTATTTATGTTTTCAGTGTCTTCGTACTCTGGTGGGCCACACAGGCGGAGTCTGGTCTTCACAGATGTCTGGTAGTATAATAATCAGTGGCAGCACAGATCGCACCCTGAAGGTGTGGAATGCAGAATCAGGACACTGTTTGCATACCCTGTATGGACACACCTCCACTGTGCGCTGTATGCACCTGCATGGGAAAAAGTAAGCTGACACACCACTAAGTTTATTTTGCAGTTCATATGAATGACTGTATGAATGTATGAGGGGTAGGCCTTCTTGGCCCTTGCTAGTGGGGTGGGACTAAATCCCTTGTACTGCGGCCACTTCTGACCTATTGTTCCAGCCCCAGATGATAGGTGAGGGTGATTATGGAGCAATTGGTAAAATGAAGATTAGCAAGGGATAACCGAAGTACTCGGAGAAAACCTGCCCCAGCACCACTTTGTCCACCACAAACCCCAGTGTATGCCATATAGGACAGATCCTTCATTGGGTTATGTAAAAGTGTAACCTTGTCAGTACTCTGTAAATTTTCTGTTTCCTTCCATGGACTGAACAGAGAATACATAGCTATACCAAGAAAATTATTGCAGGCGGCCACGCCATAGCTCAGGTGGTTAGTTGCTGGCTTCCCACTGCGGCAGCCGGAGTCAGGTCATGTGGGATCTGTGGTTGACAAAGTGGCACTGGGGCAAGTTTTCTCCAAGTACTTCGGTTTTCTCAGACAATTCGCATTCCACCAATTATCCCACAGTCATCATCATCATCATCGTCATCTATAATATAGGGCTGGTACAAGAGGCCAAACAGTGGCCACAGTACCAAGTAGACTCAGTCTCACCCCTTGAGAAAAATAAAAAAAGAGTATATACTTTTATAGTTTATTAATCCTTTTTGGATCTTCATTCCTAATTTTTTTAATGTTATGAGTAAACTTTCATTTCTTCTAACCTTAATGCATAAATAAATAAATATTTAATTTAATTACGTGTATACTTCAGATTTTTCTGATTTATGTGCTCAAAATTTATGATGAAAAGCATTTCTTTCTGATTAAAAGATTCAGTCACTAAATTCTTTAGTACAGGAAGTATTTCATGAATGTCATATGCTTACATGACATTTACTGTATACTCAAAAACATTTCCCTGTAGATGAATTTCAGAATTCTTTTTCAGGGCCAATGGTTGGTACTTTTGCTGGTCATAAAAAAGGTAAAGGTAAAGGTAAATCTAACCCTGTAACAGGCCGTGAAGGCCCATAGGGTTGTGAGACATCGAGGATCCCACATTTTCTCTAGGCAGTCAGCAAACAGATGACGGTAAGGTTGTCAGCCTTATGCATCGGCTGCCTTTTACACCCCCCCCTCCCGGAAGATTCCTGGTACTCATTTCTGTTGGAGGCTGAGTCGATCCCAGGGCCATTGTGTGGCTGGAAGGATTAGGTAAATTGAAAGAAAAAAAATCCACCTCATTGGATCTTTAACCCACAACCTTCTGGCTTGCAGCATAGTGCCTAAACCAGCTATGCTACCGTGTGCTCCCTTTGCTTGTCATATATATAATTTATTAAGAATGAGACACTTGATACAGAGAAGACTTTGCTGTACTGAAGGTGAAGGTAACAGGTTTCCTGGAAACATTGGTAATGATCTGCCAAATCACATGGACATGGCCATCACCAGGGCGTCTCCCCCCCCCCAAAGTGCGACAACCAGAAAATTTGCCGACAACTTAATGTTTAAACCAGTTAAGTCAATTTTTACTGAATGCCAAAAATATTCTGGATAACCTAGTAATTTATTTTTTAATATTTTTAGCCTTGAGATGGGCTGGTCCATCAGTCATGGAGTCGGAGTCTTACCAGATATTTAAAACATTCATACTTTCAGAAATTAACTCTGAATTGGAATAGGCCAGGAGACCTAATCCATGGAAGTGCAGGAGAAGAGGAATTCTGGGTATTAATGTCTGGCACATTTAGTTCTTCCCCCCCCCATGCTGTAGACTCTTTTTTTCCAAGACACCATGTAGGATGCAGATGCCCGGCTTGCCTACTGCCCCCACTGTGTGGTTGGTAGGAAATGCACGTGGTAGTGACAACTCAGAAGACTGACTTTGTAGCCTCTGTTGTGAGATCCTCAAATCTAACAGCCTGTATGCTGTTGCTGTATTGTGTTGCCATCTGTCCAGGGTTGTCAGTGGGTCACGAGATGCCACGCTGCGGGTGTGGAACATTGAGAGTGGGGAGTGCTTACACGTGCTGGTAGGACATCTTGCAGCTGTTCGATGTGTTCAGTATGATGGACGCCTTGTAGTAAGCGGTGCATATGACTACATGGTGAAGGTCTGGAACCCAGAGCGGGAAGAATGCCTGCACACACTTCAGGGGCACACCAACCGGGTTTACTCCCTCCAGGTAATTTCCAGGTGACACATGTGTTGTATGGCTAAAAGATATTTGAAGGTACATCATCAGATAGTGATGCAGATTATTACATAATCATTAAAAAACTTACTAGATCCTATTTTCAAGGTACAATGGAAAACAGAATCACCATGCCAGAGGTCTCATTGAATACGCGGAGTCTTTTCTTTCATCAGCTTGCCTACTGAAGGAGTGACGTACCCTCACATGTCTTATGCGCGTGATAAGCTCAGCAGACATTTCAAATTTGAGGTTCTCATTAAAATACATGGATTTCAGTGTCTTTCTTTTCCATAAAGGATGCTCTAAAACTCTTAACTCTGTAAAGCCCAAAATTCATGCGAGTAATTAAAAGTTCAGTTGCTACCTCACAGAAAAATAATTTCTTTCCATTAGAAAGATCATCTGCTTAGTACCATTGATTATTTAGCTCACAAAACTTTAGGTTTTCAGTATACAGGAAGATACTGTGTCATGCCGGCTGAAGGTCAGAATAGTGGAGCCAGCATTGGCGGCCATTGCTAGGTAACGGCTTGGGAAATATGCTTACATGACAGCAGATACACACACACAACAATATAACAACTTGTGGAAACGTGTTTTCAGTGTGTTCATGCTGAGGCTATGTAACTTGGACCAGTGGGAGAGGTTAAAACCGAGAGCGAGTTGTAGGAGACGACAAAAAGGAAACCCAGTGCCCAGGAGTATAACTGGGCTACCCTGCGAGGGTAATACCTGATGTTAGGTCACAGCTGTTTCCTTCTACATCCTTTCAAATTCATTCAACTCTGTGTAGGGTGAAACATCCATTTAAGGTTTCTTTGGACACCAATGGGTCTGAACATGAAACTGAGGAAAATCGTAGATGTATGTAAATTAACATTGTGATTATTCACTTGGAATCATTGCAGTTGAGTGTTAAATGGGGCCAAACCTTGATTTGAGAAACATTACATGGGGATTTCACTGTAGTCTGAGTTACTAACAACACTTTGAAATAAAATATAAATGAAACATGTTTTGTCATGTCATGGAACACTGTAACTTAATCTCAAACCCACTTTTGCTTAGCAGAACTCCTTCGTGTGTAACAGTGAAAGGGGTGGCAAAGTCATTCTCATATTTTCTATTTCACATCTTATAGTTCGATGGGGTTCATGTGGTGAGCGGGTCCCTGGACACCAGCATTCGCGTGTGGGAGGTGGAGACAGGAGCATGCAGGCACACACTGATGGGGCACCAGTCCCTCACGTCAGGCATGGAGCTGCGGAACAACATCCTCGTCTCTGGAAATGCAGACTCGACAGTGAAAGTGTGGGACATTGTGACAGGGCAGTGCCTGCAAACTCTCTCAGGCAAGTAATGGCATTTAAATGTGAGATGTGAGGTTCTGTGAGGAATGCGGTCCTCTGGGATATGATCCTTTGTAGATACTGAAAGATAGAAGCCCCAAGCTCCACTAAAACATGGGTAAATATCTACCAGACCACATGGTGTCACATCCAAGAGGATAAATTTCAGTAGCATTTAAAGTTGCAGTCTTTATTCATGGCAAACCCATTCTGAAATACTTACAGTGCAATTTCTGCCCTTCATTGAGGTTACTTTCTCTAGGTCCATGCACTTTCAGAACATCTTACCATATGAAGGTTATGTATGTATTGTCACCGTGGTCCCAGTGTTTATCTTGAGGAATCAACTGGGACTCAAACCCCTATGTGTAACAGAAGAACTGAGAGTCTTCTTGAAGTTGCGTTTCCAAGAAGATTTTTTTTTATTTGCATTCTTGCTGTTATGCGTCATTTTGGAGGAATAGAATGGGGCAGGGAGACATTTGTGTAATATAGTATGGCCGTGCCATAGCTCAAGTGGTTAGTCGCTGGCTTTCCATCACGGCGGCCCGGGTTCGATCCCGGGTCTGGTCAAGTGGGATTTTTGGTGGACAAAGTGGCACTGGGGCAGGTTTTCCCTGAGTACTTCGGTTTCCCCTGCCAATCTTCATTCCACCAATTGCTCCACAATCACCCTCACCTATCATCTGGGGCTGGTACAGTAGGCCAGAAGTTGCCGCAGTGCAAGGGACTTAGTCCCACCCCACTAGCAATAAAAAAATGTGGATAAAACCTTAATGCTTTTCCTGAACAGGCCCTAACAAACACCAGTCAGCAGTCACTTGCCTGCAGTTCAACACCCGATTTGTCATCACATCATCTGATGATGGCACCGTCAAGCTCTGGGATGTGCGAACAGGTAAACCTTATTTACACTTTAAGAAATTTGCTTAAACAAGTAACACGTAATATGATGAGTGACATGAAACTTGTGTGTGGTAGGTGAGTTCATCCGCAATCTGGTCGCTCTGGACAGTGGTGGCAGCGGTGGCGTGGTGTGGCGAATTCGTGCCAATGAAACCAAACTGGTGTGTGCCGTCGGAAGCAGGAATGGGACGGAGGAGACGAAGCTCCTTGTTTTGGACTTTGATGTGGAGACCAAGTGAGCGGAAAGTGTACTTCGGAAGGGTCGACGTAGCATTTAAATATAAAGATAGGGACAAAATTGTGTGCATAGCAGTATGCAGGTTGCGTGCAGAATGGCATCGTAATATTGTTCATTTGTTTTCAGTAACTTTTGTGATGTCTGGTGCCCCAGTCGGAATTCTGTAACCTTTCTTTTTCTAACGTGGTATTTATTTTTTATATGTATGAAGAATGTGGTTTTCTTTTCCCTTTTTTTTTTTTAGCCTCATGCATCACTTGGCAATTGTTATTTAAACTTTGCCAGTAATTACAAAAATATGATTATTCTTGGTTGAATACACAGGATTTAGGTTTCATGTGTTTTTATCAATAATGTGACAATAGAATGAAATGAATTGTATTGCCATTTATATATTTATTTAGTCATGAATGGAATGTGTAAATATGGCAACACTCCTTTCTTCTTTACCTCTCCTGTGTTGAACCTCCTCCTGTGGCAGAGCAGGGACAGATTATTTTAAAGTGTCTAACAAATACTCATTTGGTTTCATTATTCAACCCTCAAACTTGCATCTTTTGTATCATATTGAATACAGAGAATCATTGCTCAAAGATCTTCTTTTGTAAAATGTTATGTATTATACATGTAATAAATTGTTTCTTAGTGTAGCATGCCCCTGTTTTATTTGCAGAAATGTAAGATCCCGTGTCTCCATCTGGCAATGGAATTAGTAATTACTTGGCAAACTGGAGGTACATGTGTGTTACATATTGTCCGGCTTGTTTCATTCATAACAATAGAATGAATTTGGAATTTAGCACAGCTCATTGCAGACCAGGATGGTCTTCTGGGATGTGACTCAATGTAGTTTGGTAGATATGTTTCAAAAGAATAAGCTACATGGGGAAAAATGGTATGGATATAGGGAAGGTAAGGGTGTGACAGGGCAATGTGCAAGCCAATAAGGATGGAACTATTGTACTCAAAAGGGCTATTTTATGGATGGCAGATGCTAAAGGCCAAGACACTCAAATATACAGGGTGTCCCAGGAGGAATGTGCCAGACTTCGAGAGGGTGTTCCTTATGTTTAAGTATACCGATATAACCCAAAACACCTATGTCCAAAGTTGAAGGGTTAAGGAGATAATGGTCCCAGACAAGTGTGGTCTTCTGGCGGGTCCACGCACTGTACCTGTCAACTGACAAGTCTTATCAATGTTTGTCCTTGAGTGTGGTGATGAGTCACACTAACCGCATACCAGAATGCGAAGTCAGCAGTGTTATTCATGTGTCATGTATAGTGCTTGGAACCCTAACGACAACTATGACATGGCATGCGACTATTTTTGTAGTTCAATTTAATGGCTTCATGTCACTCACAAGTTAGTTTCATGTTATGTACATTATTAACATTATAGAAACCACATATTCCTTCCAGTTTTAATATGTACTCGTATTTGGTAATCAACAAGTGTGTAACACCTGTCAAAGTTTCACACTTCTCTGGCCATTATCTCCATAACCGTTCAACTTTGGACATAGGTGTTTTGGGTTATATCGGCATACTTTAACATAAGGAACACCCTCCCGAAGTCTGACACATTCCTCCTGGGACATTCTCTATAAGAGGAAGGAAAGTGCATAGAAGAAAAAAAATTATATATTGATTGAACTACACGGTGTCAAGTGGAGCATAGTTGTGTGGCATGTGACCTGATGTAGCCTGGCAGTTCACAAATGTTTCAGAGGAACATACTAGTTTGATTTTCAGGGGCAAAGATATGCTAAGCAAGCAACAGGTAGATGAAGTCAGTATATTGCTCCAAAATGGCAGTGATCTTGATCCTATACACGGTCAGTAGGACTCCTTGGACAGGGGATCAGCCCATCCCAATGTCTCTGTCTACACACAGAATAAACGCACACATTACAGACACTCATGCCTTGAGTGGGATTCGAACCCACGATCCCAGCGTTCGAGCGAACGGAGACAGTTTCTACCGTATCTGCCATACACTCCTTTAGACCCCCTACACCGCGCGGCGACTGTGAACTGACCGTGGCAGCATTATGAAATTATGAATTTACACCACATTTTCGACAAGTGCTTAGAGTTTTGTCTTTGCTGTTTACGATCTTTGATGTCTCTATTAGCAGTTCACAGAGGGGACCGACAGATGGTAGGAGAATTGTAATTTCGCAGGGCGACCGCCGTGCTAGTATAAGATGTTTGTATGAAAGTGGTACAGAGGGCCGCATGGGCATTGCGTAGGCTATTTTCGTACACACGTGATTTTTTTTTTCAAAATAAAAAAAAAAATCTTTGGTGTCTTTCTTTTCTAGATTTTTGTGAGGTAGCTGATGAGTAATGAGGCTGGATATTAAACGAACAGAAAAGGGCTAATGGAATAGGTTTTCTGAAAAAAGGTAAAGTTGTTCCTGTGCTTAATTAATTACCTAATTAAGCACTGTGCCATGAAGACATACGAGGGAGCTAACGTATAGATCTATATATTCTATACTTGGGCACTAGTTGGAGGTGAGTGGTCAGCTTTATTCCCCGGCCACTTTAACCCTAGGGAAAAAAGAAGCCGGGTGGGCCCCAGAACCCCGTTTGGGCGAAATGCGAATTTAATTGAAATGGCATAGGACCAGGTTCAGTGGTGGGAATTTTGTGTCAGGGCTACTGAACCTGCTGCTTCTAACACCAGAGTAGTTACAATTATTTTCCATTCCCATTGTAAGCCCCTGTGTGGGGTCACTTTCTCCCGGGACCCCCATGAGGTGTATCAACCCACCACCAAATCCATTTGGACAGGAACACCTCTACTCATGGCGGGAAATATGAACATCAATTTATCGGTGTTTTGGAGGAACCAGCTGTTTCCATCTTCAGGATACTTCTGGCAGTCTGTAGAACGTATCCCTTGAATGAGAGCTGAACATCTCTCGCGATTTTAAGCAGAGACACGTAAAATTTTATAGGGGACATAGGTATTTGTAAATCATCAGATATTCATAACTTGAGCACTAGATGGAGACGAATGGACATAGCAGTGCGGTCCAGCCATTAGTGCTGACAGGGGGGGGCAAGCCACGAACTGCCCCCTCCCTGAATATCTCGAACAAAACCAATGCTGAAAAAGATGGCAATGCTAATGCTTATAAACACATATTTAAAAAAAAATATTATTCAATGAAGATAATCTTAAAAGAGCTTACTTAATTCTGAACTAAGTTTTCTGTCCCCCCCCCGTGACGTCCTTGTCTGCAGCCGCCATTTTTTTCCCCACTGGAAACCTGCTAGGAGGGTGAGTGGACACCAGAGATATTTTGATGTGGTTGTAGAAAGAAATATCCCAATTTCGTAACCAGAAATCAAACACTACTCACGCAGACTGAGATATCAGAGCTCATAGAAGGGAGGTAAGCTACACTTTCACAGAGCAGAATTTTCTAAATTGCGAATTGTGGCCTCCCAGAGGGCCATGAGTCTTCTTTCTGGTACTCACTGAAAATCCTAACCGTCTATTTATAAATATAAACTGACAGAAAATGGCTATATTAAAGTACAATCATGCAATATACTGGAAGAAGTACTTCATAGATATCATTAAGGTGCATTAGTAATTACACATACATTTTTAAATTGCTAAACCAAATATTAAGTTATTCTCAAAGTTCGGGGGAACATAATTTTTTTCTCCAAAGGGGGAAGCCAGGAGATAGAATACAAACTTATATTTAAGCTGCTGAAGATTATTTTTACCGATCGACTTAAATCGATTCACGATAAAAAAATTATCTCTTTAAAATTAATTCTAATATTTGTATTCACGTCTGGTACATTTATAAATTCTCTTTAGTTTAGGTATTTTTAAAGAATCCAGGCAGGGGGGAGCAAATGAGAGCATGCCCACCCCTTGCCGGCGTTCATTGTTGGGGGGAGCACTAATATTTGTATTCATAACAAATGAGCCTCAGGCTACAAGAATTTGGCGAACATTTCCTTAGAGCACCCTCTTTCTCCAATCCCTTTGTCTAGGGTCCCCTAGTTCGTCCCTAGGACCCTATCCTACAGGAGTCATCAGGACTATAACTATCCCTAGTTCTTGAATCCCTCATTTCCCCACCCGTTCTCTTCACCAAGCGGGCTGGCGTAGTGACTTCATTCTAGACTTGTATCCAGAGGTACTCGGTTCGAATGTTGGTCGAGACACCAGCTATTCTGAGATCTTTCATGATTTTCCTCAGGCATTCAAGACAGTACCTCAGTTGTGCCACAAGTGCTTTCTTCCAAATCCTTTCCAAATCATTACTCACCACTAAACTCTGTGTATTCCGAAATACGGACAGCGTCACTAAATAAGCCCGAACCAGGCTAAGCCAATAAGACGTACATCCTCATGTCCTTCACACGTGGCTCCTGTTACGAGCTGTCGGCAGTTCAGACGGCCCGGTGAAGGGTTAGGAAACGACTGATGAATCGGGAAAGATTTGGAATGAAGCTGTAGTAGTTTCGGCCAGGTACCATCCTGGAATTTGCCTTGAGGGACTGAAGAAAACCATGAAAACCCTCAGTCAGAATAGCCGATATCCCGAACGAGATTCGAACTAAGCACCTCCCGAATACAAGCCTAGACGTTAACGCTGTACTAACCTGCTCTGNATTTTCTAGTATATCCTCAGTTTATGCGTTAGTACCCACATTTGGTCCCAGCGTTCCTAGTGCCGGCTGGTCATGAGGCGGGTTGTGCTTCCCTCTCGTGGCGGCCCCTGGAAAGTCAGAGCTATTGATTTTGGGGTCCCCCCTCCCTACCCTGACTGCCGGGAGAGGTTGGTGCTGGCTTGAGTTCGGTGTCGGTCGGTTTCTGGGGCGTCTCCACTCTCAGTGGCTCTTCTCGGTGCAGTTTGTTGCAGCAGTGGCTACAATGGGGAGAGTACGGTGCTAGGGCAGTGGTAAGGCAAGTGTCTGGTGCTGGAACGCCTGCTTGGAGCCCCCCTGGGGCTGCAAGCGACGCTCCAAATGTTGCAATGCACGGCATTGATTGCTTTGCGGGAGGAGGGACTGAGAAAAATCACCTGTATACCTGTGTGTGTGTGTGTGTTTGTGCGTGCGCGTGTCGCGCAGGTTGGGCACCGGTAAAAATGCGAAGGCAAAGTCTGTCTGCATTTGGGGACCATATGGTCTGTCGCCCCGCCGTACATTCTGTAGCTATCAACATGGCTTCTGACAGCGCCCTCCTGTAATGTCGAGGGGTTGTCGGCGCCGGCGATGTGCTGCGCTGAGGTCATGGACCCGCACAAAAATCCATATTTTGGAACGCCCTGATAACCGCTATTTAAATAGTGAAAAACAATCGTGACTGAATTTAAGAGTTGTCGCGGTATTTGCCTCAAGGAACAGAGGAGATCCGCTGATCGGCAACGTTCAAATAAGGAACTCACCGAATGTGACGTAGAGATGAGCTTTTGGTCGCCTTTTAGACCGAAGGGTCCATCCATTAAAGTCCTAAGTCATGAGATTAGGACCCCGGCCCCCCTGTACGAGGGGTTTATCTGGTTTTACTCAGTCTCTCCGGTCAAATTCCTTGTGAGTGCCCAGAAGTACGCATGGACCTTTCCTCCCAGACTGTCCTCGTTCCTAATTAAGCGTATAGCTCATAGTTACCGTAAGTAGAACTACTTGTTTTAATATACCTACGGCCGATTCAGCTCATTTCCTATATTTGCCGTCTGTTAGCCTGAAATTGATTTTAATATTAATCACCAATTTACAGTTAAAACTACAAGACAGTGAATTTGCATGGGACTTCGCCACTGAGATCCTGTTATCCTTTCGTATCCTTCAAATACTCACTCTCTGTAAAAGGTAAGGTAAGGTAAAGTTGTCCCTGTGCTTAACTAATTAAGCTCCACGTCATGAAGGCGTATGGGGGAGTGGATGTGTAGATCCACATTTTCTTGACCTCGGTACTAGTTGGAAGTGAGTGGTCAGCTTCCCCCCCCCCCCCACCGGCCGCTTTACTCCTGGTACCCACTGGATAGGAAGATGGATGAACCCTAAAGCCAGTTTGGACGACGTGGAGAAGATAAAATTCTTGACTCTACCTGGACTAGAACTCTGACCCCTCGGTCGTCCGTAGCTAGTCGCTATACCGACTGAGCTATCCCGGCTCTGTATTATCTGTAATATCTCTGTAATATCCTTTATATAACAGTGTTTACACTGACACTACATGAGTCATCTGCCAAAATCGAAATATTTTCGTTATAACCAGAGCTCACGCGGGCCTAAATGCCATCCCGGAAGACGTGAATTTTCATCTCCGCCCCCCTAGTTAAAACAGAATCAACTTTCTCAAAAATCATCAAAATTAATGACGGGAAATTTATAGAATGCGACGAAACCCGCCATTTGTGTAGCGACTTTTAAACAGTTTTGTTTACGCTGTTGCTTATCCTGCTAAAATTTGTTTCTTTATACGGCACGAACAGAAGAGCAGCAGAAATTCAGTTCCACTTAACCAAAAAAAAAGAAAAAATCTCAAAATATGCCGCCTCCTGGGGGTCTCGTACTTCGTATATATTCTCTCGCTAGCCCTACTGCTGACTGCGTTACCAAATTCAGGTCACAATTTCCCAGTTTCCATGATTACCACATGACTGACGTTAAATATTGGCGAAAGTCAACCCCGAGGTGGGGCACACCTTGCCGCCTGGTACAGAATTCGACAGACAGGAGGCAGCACAGGGCTGACCTACTTCGGCTAAGGTGCAAACGGAAAGACCGGGGAATACCGAAACAAGTGTCATTGATGCCATCGGGGGCTGAACTGTGTGATTCGGGGTCTGGGTGGGGTGTGATACTCTCATGGAAACCGGCAGACGTCCAGCGAAAATTGTCACCGTCGTTGTATTACAAACACCGAACTACCAATCTGGAATTTCGCTAAATGCCGACAATCGCTGTCACATCCGTGTGCTCACTTGTACTCTACATAGACTCCGTGATTTGAGTCCGCAAGCGAACTATACCGACCGGGCGACCGCCGCTTGTCGGCGAAGGAAGTGCGAACTATTGCGGATAGAGGGTGTCGCGTGGTCAGCGCAACCAATCCCCACGGCCGTTAATTTCGGTTTTCTAGACCGGAGCCGCTACTTCCTTGAAATAGCTCCTCAATTATCATCACGAAGCTGAGTGGACCCCGTTCCAGACCCACTACTTGTCAGAAAAAATATGGTAGCACGGAGAATCGAACCCGGACCTCTGGATCTGTAACCAGGAACGCTGACCACAAGACCACAAAACTGGCATAGTCATAAAGGTCTGAGATCGTATTCGGGAGATGGTCGTTTCGAATCTCCGCCGGGATATCGACTATCCTGATAGAGGTTTTTTTCATGCAGTCAAATGCCGGGTGTAATGCATCGGTGCTATACGGTGCAGTCTACCTGCTAACAGGATCGTGAAATAAGCACAAAAGAGACTGAATTTCATTTCTGATACATGACAATATGTCTGGATTGTCAAGACAGACTTGATACTAGGGAAAAACTTATTTCACCTTCTCTCTTATGACAATTGTATTTTTGTTCATAATTTATCAAGTTCTGGGAAGTGGGCTCTTTCTCTGTGTCTTATATTTTACGGGGAGGGCCATGCCCCGCATCCCCAACACTCCTCCGGTAATACTTGTTCAGAGGGAGAGTCAATAAATAGGTCACAAATGGATATAAAATCCAAAACATGTGATATTCTAACCTGGAACAAACATTCGTTTCTCAACATATCCTCCACCAACACTGATACACTTGTCCCATCGCTGAAGAATGTTTTTAGTATGCGATGTCTCTCCATCTGTTCCAGGCGATCGTGATAGTGAAGAATGCAATCTTCTTGGATGTGACGCCATGTAGAGTTTGTGTAAACCGACGTTTCGGATGAATTTATCGCCTACATCTTCAGGGTAGAAAAATCAGCGAACGAGAAAGCAGCGCTCACGCGTGAGCCACATCCCAGAAGACGGCATTCGTCATAGTCACCGCCGTGAAAACCTTAAATCATGATAGTGGTTGTCAAAATTTTTAGTAATGGGATCGTCCACTCTTATGTGCTAAATAGACGGGAAGTGACACAGAATATTTTGGTTATCTGAAGGAAGAGGGCAAAGTTCAGCCCTGGGTCTTCAGACAGATCAATCGAGCCCACACAAAAAGAGAAGCTTCACGCATCGAAACTCGCTCTTCGCTGATTTTATTAATATTTGGCAGAAATGTCAAAACTGGGACGGATCAGGGGGCACCGTGGGTACATGCGGGGCTCGGCGACACGACACGCAAAAAAGGCTGCAACCCGCGGTCATTGTCGCCGGTGGTGAGGGCTGGGTAGTGTCGAAAGGGGGGAGGCAGGCGGAGACTTTTGTCATAAACTGATGTCTAAGCTTTTGGTATACTTCAATTTTCTGATATACTGTATATGTTACCATGAGATGTATTTCTTTATTGCTAGTGGGGTGGGACTAAGTCCCTTGTACTGCGGCCACTTCTGGCCTATTGTACCAGCCCCAGATGATAGGTGAGGGTGATTGTGGAGCAATTGGTGGAATGAAGATTGGCAGGGGAAACCGAAGTACTCGGAGGAAACCTGCCCCAGCGTCACTTTGTCCACCACAAATCCCACTTGACCAGACCCGGGATCCTTTAATACGGTACACCCGCTGAAGTAGGTTTTGTACGACCGACAGATGTCGAGGTTTCAATATGTATTCTGTGCATGGAAATAAACTAGACGTACTTACACCGAAATGCACAACTCGTTCTAATGAAGTTTAAGCTGCTTGAGGCAGTGATTATGAAGAGATCTCTCTTCTGGGATAAAAGGTCGTGTAGGTTATACGTGTATTCCAACCGGTTAGAGCTACGAATATTTTAATATTTGATATTGAAATGTGGTACAGATTCTTTTATGAAAATTCAATTTCCCCTCCCCCCCAAAATCTAGAGAGGACATGTACCTAGCTCCACCCCCCCCCCTTCTGACACCCATGTAATTTTACAACCGTTATTTTTTTGGTTTTCCGTCAGACGAAAAGTAAATTCTGTCGCTCTCTTGTTTATATTGTGACCATCGATTGTTAGTCATCTAAATATGTTGTACAACAATGAGATTAACTGTGAGCTACTGAAGCTGACATTGTTGTCTGATACATCTGCCGGTATTGTAATTGGATACGAGCTAGACGATCGAGTAGCCCGAGTTTGGTTCTTGCTTTCGGCGGAGATAGTCTCTATTCACCAGCGTCCAGACCTGTCTTAGAGGGAGCGCCAGCCTCAGCTGTACACTCACCTCTATCTAGTGTCAAGATTCAGAATACTTGGGCTACTACCTCCAGTCCTCAATACATCTTCACGTCGTTGTGCTTAATTACAAACAGGGACAACTTCACACCGAAGAGGTCGGTTTGGCCTCAACATTCTAGATACACTCGGTTCGAATCCAGGCCAGAATACTTTTATCCTGATTGATTCTTTGGGGTAGAACCTCGAGAAGGTGACGACCGCTTCCTTTCAGATCCTTTCTAGTTCACTATTCATTATTCACCTAGGGCTAAAGGGCGACCGCAGTGTAAAACTGACAACCTCACCGCCATCTGTGAGTCGATTGTCTAGAAAATGTGGGAGCCTCGACGTCTCACAACCCTATGGGTCTCCACGGCCTGTTACAAGGATATCTTTGCCCTTTTTAATTTTACTAAATTTTACTTATGCAACGGGATCAAGCAGTAGCACACTTGGCTGAGGCACTATGCCACAAGCTGGAAAGTCACGGATTCCATTCCCGATGAGGTCATTGTATTTTTTCAATTTACCTAATCCTTCCAGCCGCATCATGGCCCTGGTGTCGACTCAGCCCCTAACAGAAATGAGTACCAGGAATCTTCCTGGGGGTAAAGGGC